GCCTAGTCAGTCCCAATGGGAGAACCTGGTTACTTCAGCCTGAAAGTGCAGCATTCACTTGCTGTTTTCATTCTTGATAGTAGTGGCCAACAGCAACTCCTTCTAGTTGGCCATCTTGGCCCCTCCTGCGACCTTGCCAGTGTTTTAATTAAGTTGTTCCTTTCCTCTGTTCTTCCTTCCTTCCTTCTTATCCTTTTTCTCCTGCTGCTCCTCCAGTCTTATAAAACCTTCAGTACAAAGTTGAATAGAAGTGGTAGGAATAGTCATCCTACCCTTATTCCTGATCTTAGGGAGATAGCATCCAGTCTCACCATTCATTATGATGTTAGGTGTTCCCTAGATGCCCTTTATCAGGTTGAGGAAGTTCCATTCTAATCATAGTTTATTGAGTATTGTTAGTCATGAAAAGGTGTTGGATTTTGTTAAATGCTTTTTCTGCATCTATTGAGATGATCAAGGTTTTTCTTTTTTAGTCTGCTGTAGTTATTTACTTAATTTTTGAATATTAAACCAATCTTGCATTCCTAGAATAAACCTCACTTAGTCATGGTAAATTATCATTTTTCTATTTTGTTAGATTCAATTTGCTAAAATTATGTTAAGAATATTTGCATTGTCTGAGCATGTTGGCTCACACCTGTATTTCCAGTACTTTGGGAGACTGAAGCAGGCGAAATGCTTGAGGCCAGGAATTCAAGACCAGCCTGGGCAACATAGCAAGACCTCATCTCAGCAAAACAATAAAAATTAACTGAGTGTGGTGGCATGCCTGTGTCGCCAGCTACTCAGGAGGCTATGGTGGGAGGATCGCTTGAGCCCAGAAGTCCAAGGCTGCAATGAGCTATTATCACACTACTGCACTCCAGCTTGAGTGACAGAGGGAGACTCTTGTCTCAAAAAAAAAAAAAAATGCCTCCATATGTATGAGGATATTGGACTACAGTTTTCTTTTCTCATAATGTCTGTATTTGGTTTTGGTGTCAAAGTAATGCTTACGGACCTTAGAGAATGAGTTGAGAAGTACTGCCACCTCTTTCAGTTAGCGGAAAAGTTTGTGTGGAGTTGTTATTTCTCCCCTAAATGTGTTGTAGAGTTTGTCAATAAAGCTGTCTGGGCCTGTAGTTTTCTTTGCAGGAAGATTTTTTTTAACTACCAATTCATTTTTTTTTTTAAGATACAGGGTTTATGCAGGTTTTCTATTCTTGAGTGAGCTCTTGCAATTTGAGTCTTAAGGAATTTGTCTATTTTTATTGAAGTTGTTTATTGGCATGATATTGCTCATAATATTATCTTACTATCCTTTTAATATCTAAGACCTGTAGAGACTTCTTTTTTTCATATAACAGGTTTATTGAAATATAATTCTCATACAATACAATATACTCATTTAGTGTACAATGCAGTGGTTCTTAATATATTCGTAGTTTTATAACCATTACCACAATTTTTGAACATTTTTATTAAGCCAAAAAGAAATTCCATACTCATTAGCAGTCATTCCCCATTTCCCTCTAGTTCCCACTCCCCCAGCCCTTAGCAACCACTAATCTATTTTCTGTCTCTATAGATTTTCGTATTCTGAATGTTTCATATAAATGGAATCACATAATTTATATTGTTTTATGATTGACTTCTCTCATTTAGCATAATGGAGTTTGGGGGGCTTTTTAAATGTAATTTTTAAAAGTATATATTTTTTTTTCATGGAGACGGGTCTCACTATATTGTCCAGGCTGGTCTTAAACTCCTGGGCTCAAGTGATCCTCTTGCCTCAGCCTCCCAGAGTGCTGAGCTTACAGGCATGAGCCACTGTACCCAGCCCCAGCATAATGTTTTTAAGGTACATCCATGTCATAGTGTCTTTCAGTACTTCATTCCTGGCCAGGCACAGTGGCTGATGCCTGATGCCTGTAATCCCAACACTTTGGGAGGCCGAGGAAGGAGGATCACTTGAGCTCAGGAGTTTGAGACTGTCCTGAGAAACAAAGGGAGACCCCGTTCTTTACCCCTCCCTCCCCGACACACACACACAATTAATAGGGCATAAAGGCACAAGTTTGTGGCCCCAGCTACTTGGGAGGCTGAGCGGGGAGGATCGCTTGAGCCTGGGAAGTTGAAGCTGCAGTGAGCCGTGATTGTGCCACCGCACACCAGCAGGCAACAGAGCAAGACTGTCTTAAAAAAAAAAAAAAAAAAAAAAAAAAAATTCATTATTTTCTATGGCTGAATAATATCTGTTTCATTTTATAGATATACCACATTTTTTATCCATTTATTAGTTAATGTACATTAGGATTGTTTCCACTTTTGGGCCGTTATCAATAATGCTGATGTGAACATTTGTGTATAAGTTTTTTGTTTTTGTTTTGAGACAGAGTGTCACTCTGTTGCCCAGGCTGGAGTGCAGTGGGGTGATCTCAGCTCACTTCAATCTCTGCCTCCTGGGTTCAAGCGATTCTCCTGCCTCAGCCCCCTGAGTAGCTGGGATTACAGGTGCATACCACCATACCTGGCTGATTTTTCTATTTTTAGTAGAGTCAGAGTTTCACCACGTTGGCCAGGCTGGTCTCAACTCCTGACCTCAGGTGATCCACCAGCCTCGGCCTCCCAAAGTGGGATTAACAGCCATGAACCACCGTGCCCGACCTCATGTATAAGTTTTTATGTGATATATGTTTTAATTTCTCTTACGTGTATATCTAGGGGTAGAATTGCTGTGTCATATGCTAAGTATATGTTTAACCTTTTAATTTATTTATTTGTTGAGACGGAGTCTCGCTCTGTCGCCCAGGCTGTAGTGCAGTGGCGTGATCTCAGCTCACTGCAACCTCTGCCTCCCAGGTTCAAGCAGTTCTCCGCTCAGCCTCCCAAGTAACTGAGATTACAGACACATGCAACTACGCCCGGCTAATTTTTTTGTATTTTTAATAGAGACAGGGTTTCACCATATTGGCCAGGCTGGTCTTGAACTCCTAACCTCGTGATCCGCCTGCCTCAGCTTCCCAAAGTGCTAGGATTACAAGCATGAGCCACTGCGACCGGCCTATGTTTAACCTTTTAAAGAACTACCAGACTTTCCCAAAACAGCAGCAACAGTTTACATTCCTGTCAGCGGGGGATGCATGTTCCTATTTCTCCACATCCTCACCAACTTGTTATTAACTTTTTTATTATAGCCATCCTCATGGGTGTGACAGTGATGTCTCTCTTGTTCTTAATATTGGTAACTTGTGACTTCCCTCTTTTGTCTTTATCAGTCTAGTAGAAGTTTATTGATTTTATTGAACTTTTCAAAGAACCAACTGCTGGGTTAGTTTTCTCTCATTTTGTGCTATTTCATTGATTTCTGCTCTGGTCTTTGTTATTTCCTTTCTTCTGCTTATTTTGAGTCTTTTTTTTTCTAATTTCTCAAGATGGAAACTAAGATCTGATTGGAGACCTTTGCTGATGTAGGGGTTTTAATGCTGTACATTTCTTGCTATGTACTGCTGTACTAGATCTCACAAATTTTAATGAATCGTATTTCTCATTCAATTCAAAATGCTTTCTAATTTCCCTTTGATTTCTTCTCTGATTCATGGGTGATTTAGAAGTGTGTTATAAAATATTTGAGGATCTTCCAAATATTATTCTCTAATTGATTTCTAATTTCATGTGGTCTAAGAACATGTTTTGTATGATATGAATCTTTTAAATTATTGACCTGTTTTCTGTCCCAGATAGAATATGGTGATAAATGTCCTACATGTATGTGAGTAGAATATGTATTCTGCTCTTGTTGGCAGGAGTGTTCTATAAATGTCAATTACGTCAAATTGATTGATGGTATTTATTAGAGTTTCTGACTAATTTTATTAATTATTGAGAGAGGGGATCCACCTATTGTTGTGGATTTGTCCATTTCTTTTTTATTTCTATCAGTTTTGCTTTATGTATTTTGAAGCTCTGTCATTAGGTATATAAACATTTAGAATCATTATGTACCCCTTATTGAAATGATCCTGTTATCATTCTGAAATGTCCCTTTTAATACCTGGCAGTATTTTTGCTATGAAGTCTACTTTGTCTGGCATTAATATAGACATTCTGGCTTTCTTTTAATGATTAGTGTTAGCATAATATATTTTTCCATCCTTTTACTTTTAACCTATTTGTATATTTATTAAAGTGGGCTTTTCGTAAGGAATATATAGTTGGGTCTTGCATTTTTATCCAATCTAACAATCTCTGCCATTTTGTTGACATGTTTAGACCAAAGATCAGCAATCTATAGCCCACAGGTCAAACCTAACCACTGCCTGCCTTTGGAAATAAAGTTTTATTGGAACACAGCCAAGTCCATTCATTTGTGTATTGTCTGTGGCTGCTGTCACACTCCAGTGGCAGAGTTTGCTCACCTATTATGCAGACCATTTACATTTCATGTGATTATTGATGTGGTTGGATTTTTTTTTATGTGGTTGGATTTTAAACTACTGTGTTGCTATTTCTTTTCATTGGTCCCATCTGTTTTTTCTCCCTTTTTCCTTTTTTTAAACTGCCATCTTGGGGATTAATTGGGTATTTTTCATTATTCCATTTGATATCGTTTGTTGACTTATTAGCTGTAACTCTTTTTTTATTATTATTTTAGTATTTGCTGTTAGAGCATTCAGAAAATAACCACAAGGAATGACCCTAGGATGTCTTGATTCTCTTAATCTGACTCAATCTACCAGAATGTTACCTTTCTGGCTCCTGATAAATTAAGGCATACTGCCATAGCTTTATTTCCCTTGACTGTTTACAGAAAAGAAAGATGGAGTAAATAGGGACTTTTGTTTGCCTATATGAGAGTATCCAAAATAGATTTCGTATATATGATTTGGATTAAGAGTAGAACTGCATTTTTAGGAGCATTGACCTGTAAGATATAGTGATTAATTCATTAGTTTGAGTCACTTTTTGAAATAGTAAGTGATTGTTAAGATGCTCCAATGTAAAAATCTGCATCTTTGCAGGCTACCATCAATATTGTTTTTGATCGAGTTGGGAAAACGGATCCTGTCACAAGAGGCATTGAGATCACTGTGAATTATCTCGGAATCCAATTTGATGTAAGTGTTATATCAGGATTCAAGATCCTGGTTTGTCATGTTTCTTTCTCTTTTATCTGCTATAACTTATCATTGTTAAGATTCTAATTTGTATGCTTTAGGTACTTGCTTCTGCTTTTGTTCTGCCCATTCACCTCAGTATATTTTGACATATTCATATGGAAAATTTTTATATTTTGATGTATTCACATGGAAAATTTGTAAAAGGCCAAGATTCTCTGTCTTAACATAAAGCCAGAAGTAATGACTGATACTTAATATTGTCATGGATGCTGATTATTTCTACAGCTGCTCCTCTGCTTCTCTGTAGCCACCTACCAGTTTACCATTTTCTCCCCACCAAAGTATTCAGATACTTCCCTCTGTGATTCTTGATGAGCTCTTCAAACGTACAACTCACCTTTGATGCCCCAGTGGAAAATTAACTACTAATTAGTGTTCCGTGTTAGAGCTGAAACGATTTCTGCTGTTAGAAATGATCTTTATCAATTAATGTGGACCTAGGGCTAAAGATGGTAACTGTCACCTCTGCACAAAGTTGTTTTTATAAATTGGCTTTTTACTGTTTCATAATACCACTGTCATAAATACACCCTTGTCGTAATTGAAGTTCAGTGTATTTATTCATAAACCAGAGCCAATGACTCAGGCTGAATAGCACTTTAACGGTAAGACCAATGTCATATAATAGTCCCAGTATAGGCCATTTAGCTGTGCTGTCAACCTAGCCACAGACTGCATGCTACCCCCAGCCATCCATCCCAGCCAGACATGCCCCTGATCTCAAAAGGACTTGGATAAAATGAAAATGCACCAGAGCAAACCGAGCCCCAATCCTTGAGAAACAGCTCAATGTACATGTTTCTTGATGCTAGATCAATTGTATATCCTCTTTGAGTGTGAAGGAGCATGGTATCTTTTATTCAAGTAGTATATAAATTATATTAAGTATGCTTTACAGGCCAGGCACTACTGTGGCTCACATCTGTAGTCCCAGCACTTTGAGAGGCCGAGACAGATCACTTGAGTCCAGGAGTTCAAGACTAGCCTGGGCAACATGGTGAAACCCCATCTCTAGAAAAAATATAAAAATTAGTTGGATATGGTGGCATGCACCGGTAGTCCCAGCTACGCAGGAGGCTGAAGCAGAAGGATCATTTGAACCGGGGAGGCAGAAGTTGCAGTGAGCTGAGATAGTGCCACTGCATTCTATTCTGGGCAATAGAGTGAGACCCCTGTCTCAAAAAACAACAAAAAGTATGCTTTGCTATTGTTGCATTTGTGTTTTCTTAAGTGTTTTACTGGGCTGAGTTTTTAGCAATGCTTCTCCTTTTCTGTACTTTCTGAGGATACTTAGATGGTCATGTATATATTCCATCTACAATTCATCTGTTTATACCATATTTTGTAATTCTGAATAACAAATCTTTTAGATGTTAGTAATAGCAGCTCCCTTGCAGATACTTTTCAGAACTGAATCAAACACAGGGTCCCAAAACTCCTTCTCACTATGAAGCAATGCAGGAGGAGAAAAAGGTATCATGTGGTTCCAGTGAAATTCAGCTATTTCCTAGAATTTAGCTGAGAATGTCTATATATTCCTTTATTATAAAAAGAAAGATTCCTTGAAGTTTTGGTGGTTAGGGAACTATTATTCATAGACACTGAAAGTAATCAAGCTATTATTTACTTTCCTTTTAATTCCTGCTTTTCATTTATAACAGTAAAACTGTATCATTAGTTCTGTTTCTTCTGATTTATTAGTGTTATTTTTATCACTCCTCGGTACTTGCTGCCAGGCATGGTGACTCATGCCTGTAATACCAACACTTTGGGAGGCTGATGTGGAAGTATTGCTTGAGCCCAGGAGTTTGAGACCAGCCTGGACTACATAGCAAGACCCTGGCTCTAAAAAAAAAAAAATTTTTTTTTAATTTTAAGGTTTAATTAAGTCTGCTAATTAAGATATCTACTGCAGTCTTTCTGTAGTTGTTTTATTTGCCACTTACTTGCTTTCCTCTCTCCCTTAAGAAAAAAAAATCAGGTAGGGTCTAATGAAGTTCCCTCTCACAGTCACGTAAATGATTAGGATATAGCTTTTACTTAGCCTTTACATCTCTCTGAACAGAGGTTTAGCAGCTGTTTTTTCTTCCTATCATGGTGGCAGGTGAAGTTTTGGTCCCAACACATTTCCTTCATTCTTGTTGGAATAATCATCGTTACATCCATCAGAGGACTGCTGATCACTCTTACCAAGGTGTGTTTTATCACAGTGTTAAAAAGTACTGCTTATCATTTGTTTAATTAAATGTGGTACCAGCTGGGTGTGGTGGCTCATGCCCGTAATCCCAACACTTTGGGAGGCTGAGGTGGGCGGATCATGAGGTCAGGAGATGGAGACCATCCTGGCCAACATGGTGAAACCCCATCTTTACTAAAAATACAACAAATTAGCTGGGTGTGGTGGCACATGCCTGTGGTCCCAGTTACTTGGGCGGCTGAGACAGGAGAATCACTTGAACTTGGGGTCGGGGATTGCAGTGAGCCAAGATCGCACCACTGCACTCCAGCCTGGTGACACAGCAAGACTCCGTCTCAAAAAAAAAAAGTGGTACCATGAGATAATTTTACCTAATTAAGAATTCTGCCTCCTGGGACTTTAAACAGTCCCAAGGATTTAAAAGACATACAACCGAATTTTTAAAAAGTTAAACTACTACATAAATTGTTGGCAATATATTTACATCATATACCAATTATAGATAAGTACATTCACTAAAGGTAATAGAGAAAGATATGGTTCTGTTTTGTTCACTGATATGTTATCAGTATCTAGAACAGAACCTAGCACATGGTAGGCAGGTATTCAGCAGATATTTGAGACTGGAAGAATAATTGTGAGAATCACTTGTAGAGAAGATATGGAAGTAGGGGGACAGAATATAGCAAGTCCTCAATGTATCAATAAGTTCTTGGAAACAGCGGCTTTAAGTAAAACTATATACCAAGTCCTCAAAAAAATGTTTCGTTCAACATTTCATTATAATGCTGATGAGAAAAATGTAGTTTTGTTATACGTCATTTCACTTAAAATCTCAGTTTCCAAGATCCTATAAATGGCATTAAGGAAGGACCTACTGAATTCAACTATTTTCTAATCAGTGTAGGAAGACTTCACGGAGGTGGAAAGTGAGTCCTCTCTGGTAGGAAAGGTAGGGATTTAAAATCCAGGAGCTTTTGAATGAAAGAAGAGGTTGGGACGGGAAGGGATTTGCAGGCATCTAGCAGAGTTTTAGACAGAGCACAGGAGCCTAGTAACAATTACAAACACTGTGAGTGGGCTGGAGTGATCTGACTTAATGTTTACAGTGATGTTAAGTCACATGTGTCACATAGTTTCTGAAGTGTGATAGCGATAGGAATCCTTTCATATGTTATGTGAAGAACTTACCTCCGGGGGAAACTAACTTTTTCTGCAGGCTATTTTAAGTCTCTTCTTTATAGGCTTAATCATATGAACTGTTCTATACAGGATTGTGGCATCGAAGAGACACTTTCAATCAAATGTTAACCATATTTCTTATTGTTCATGACACACGAATCTAACAGTACTGCATAAATTTATCTCCCTCTTTCTTGACAGTTCTTTTATGCCATCTCTAGCAGTAAGTCCTCCAATGTCATTGTCCTGCTGTTAGCACAGATAATGGTAAGTTTATTGAGTTACCTTTATGTTTACAGCTGTGAAATATCAGAAATGTGCTTGATACTTTTAAGAATTTTAATAATTTCCTTTGTCCTGTTCCTCACTACATTCAGAGTCACTTCTGGATTAATTCATTTGACTTACAGGGCATGTACTTTGTCTCCTCTGTGCTGCTGATCCGAATGAGTATGCCTCCAGAATACCGCACCATCATCACTGAAGTCCTTGGAGAACTGCAGTTCAACTTCTATCACCGTTGGTTTGATGTGATCTTCCTGGTCAGCGCTCTCTCTAGCATACTTTTCCTCTATTTGGCTCACAAACAGGCACCAGAGAAGCATATGGCACCTTGAACTTAAGCCTACTACAGACTATTAGAGGCCAGTGGTTTCAAAATTTAGATCTAAGAGGGGGAAAAATGGAACCAGGGCCTGACGTTTTATAAACAACAAAATGCTGTGGTAGCATTTTTCACCTCATAGCATACTGTTTCCCGGTCGGGTGATACTATGACCGTGAGTAGCATCAGCCAGAACATGAGAGGGAGAAGTAACTCAAGACAGTACTCAGCAGAGAGCGTCCCGTGTGGATTTGAGGCTGGTGCAAAGGCGGAGAGGAGCCAAGAAACTAAAGGGAAAAAATACACTGGAACTCTGGGGCAAGAGATTTCTATGGTAGCTGGGCCAAACACATATGATTTCCGTTTTAAGGTTCACATGGAGAAGGTTATAGCTTTCCCTTGAGATTGACTCATTAAAATCAGAGATTGTAACACTTTGGCCTTAGGTTCCTTTCATCAAGCATAGCTTGGTGTTGTGCTTGTGTGATCTGACTTGAGTTAGCATCCCACACCTCCTCATCTGAGCCTACCCCATTAAAATAACCAAGAAGTTATCTGTTCTTTTCCGGGAAAGGGGTAGTGTGTACCTGAAATAGATTCTACCAAAAGAGAGATTTCAGGTATGTCATTTTTTCTTGATTTCCTGTCAACTTAGTATTATACCCTACTTTCAATTCAGTAGTGATGTTTCCTTTTTTTTTTTTTCTATCTGCCCCTCACACTGTGGGGTGAAACCATGAATAACTTAACTGGGGGAAGGAGTCACTTGTGAAAGGGAAATGTTGAAAAATTTTTAGAACATTCAGACATGCAATTTAAGAAAATTCTGAATTTTATTACTAAGGTCTTATTTTGTACTTAATGTGTTTTGGGTTTCTAGAAGCAAATGAAGGTTAAAGCATAAAAAGTGAATCCAAAACAAAAGCTCTATCAAGTGTACTCAAAAGGCATTTGTTAATGGTATTTATTCTAGCAACTACAACATTGTTACAAAAGCACAATTTTAATAGGCTTATCTGCTAAGATGCTTTAATAAGCAGCTATCACCTATACAGAGTTATGAATCATCTTTGGTGCTCAAGGAACCTGTAGAAGTAAGAGACATCATCATACAGAGAAATGTAGTTAAGTTGAAGCTTGGAAGAGATCACATGAAAAAAATCTAGCTCTTGCCTTATCTCTTCCTAAGTTAAGCATAAATTAGCAGTCTGCAGTAGCCATCCGTAAGACCAGTCACACATGGTGAATGGTTTCCAGTGGAGTTTTTCTTCTAAAGAGACAGTAAACTGGTCGCAACTCATTCCTTGAGAAACGATTCCTATTAAATACCCAGAAATAGCTATCAAATAAACAGCCAACGCTATTACTTGTTTTCATCACATCTCTGTATCTTCAGAATTGGAAGAAGAATGTGAGGCTGTACTGTGGGCCTGTGTAAAAGAAAACAAAGAATTTACAATTGGTAGAGTAATGAAAAAGGGATGATCTATTCTAGAGTTGCATGACTTAAGTCGGGGAGTAGAGTCACTCACTAGAATTTCTTACTTTCACAGCATGCAGTTGACAGCAATTGTCTAGAGCTCATAAATCAAGAAGTAAAAAGTTTATCAGTATTGTAATGGGAACCCCCAGAAGAGCCTGAATCAGATGATCTAGGTATGACTAGAAGTCAGGTGACCTGAATTCTACACTTGACCGTTTTCAACTTGCTGTTTGACACATTAACAAATTCCTTAATGTCTGTATATATTTTTTTTATAAGACTAGGATATTGACTTCCTAAAGAGAAATGATAGAATTTTTAAATGACAACTAAAATAGTGTTTATTAAGCATTCCAGAATACAAATCAGTGGGCATTGTGTGTGTTCATTAAACTGAGTTTATTAAATAAACTGAGTTTATTAAAATGAGTATTCACCAATTAGCAGAATATAATGGAAAGAACAACATTGAATTAAACTTTTTTAGAGTCTTGGCTTTGCTATAAATTTCCTTTCTGAATTTGGATAAGTCAGTTTACTTTTGGACCTCAAGTTCATCTATGAAAAATTGGGGGCCGGGCGCAGTGGTTCAAGCCTGTAATCCCAGCACTTTGGGAGGCCGAGACAGGTGGATCACAAGGTCAGGAGATCGAGACCATCCTGGCTAACATGGTGAAACCCCATCTCTACTAAAAAATACAAAAAACTAGCCGGGCGAGGTGACGGGCGCCTGTAGTCCCAGCTACTTGGGAGGCTGAGGCAGGAGAATGGCGTGAACCGGGGAGGCAGAGCTTGCAGTGAGCTGAGATCCGGCCACTGCACTCCAGCCTGGGCGACAGAGCAAGACTCCGTCTCAAAAAAAAAAAAAAAAAAAAGAAATATTGGGCAAAAATATGAAACTGAGACTTACCAAGAAGTTTAATCCAAATATATAGAGAATGCTTAATCTTTCCTAGTAATAAAACTGGAATACCTGTCAGTTATTTTAGACAATATTGTCTATAAGCATCACCATTTACATGCTTACTATGAGCCAGCCACTATTCAAAGCACTTTAATATAGTTAATATAATCTTAGTTAACATAATCCTGATAACAATCCTACAAATTATCCCCATTTTATGGGTGGGAAAACTGAGGAACAGAACAAATAAATCCATTTCCCCGCAACTGACAAATGACAGAACCAGAATTCATACATAGATCATCCAATTCAGGCTCTTCTGGGGGTTCCCATTACAATACTGATAAACTTTGTACCTCTTGATTTATTAGCTCTAGACAACTGCTATCAGCTGCATGCTGTGAAAGTAAGAAATTTGTTGTCCTTGTACGGCCGCCTGTCCTCTACAACAACTTGATTTGTGAGTTATCTTTACATTGTCATTTTCTAGTTTTAAAAAAATCTGTGGCAAACAGACATTAAATATACTCATAGGGACTATACCCCTACTCCAGTAAATTAGATCACGAAAAGAAATAGGCCCCCACTCACCCGTTCTTTTGCCATGTCCGAGTCATGCCCTGACTCCACCACTGTTCCTTCTTTAGAATCTGGAGGGGTGTCAAGTGGATCAGCCAGGGAGGAAACAATAGGGATTTTCTTAGCTTGGAAATAATCATAGGCCTTCTTTCCACAGACTAAAAGTGTGACATTCTTCCCACTGCTCTGGATTCTATCCACCACCTTCTCATAGGGTTCATCCAGCACATTCACCCCATTCACTTCAATGATGATATCTTCATCCTCTAGCCCAGCCAAGTCAGCAGGGCCGCCCTTCTGTACCTGTGAACAGAAGTTCTGAGTTATCAATTTCAAACACAGAGAAGGGGATGTCAGACTAGCTCTCCTTCAGAGGACAGATGAGGAGTTCAAGAATTTATTCTTAATCATGTTATTATTTCTCCTTGAGGTATAGAGTTGAAAAAGGTGTTCTAATGCTTTTGTATTTATGAAGGCTGTAACTTCTATATTCACATGATTAGTGGTATTATAACTAGTGATTCAGTGTCACATGTCTTCTGGGATAAAGGGGGATAAATAGGTCCCCCTTCTTCACTCCCAACTTGAAAGCTATAGGGAGTCTTATCAGTCCCTACAGGATAAGGATAAGGGGCATTATGCCAAATACACAGAAGCAAACAAGTATGACTGCCAATCAGAGTTGATAGTGACTGTCAGCTAGAGTTCAGTCAACTCACTGTTTGGAACAGATGTTTGGGAAGCAAAAAACACGTGAACTTATGATGTACTGGTAGCTAACCTAAAGGGTGTGGGACCATGACAACATTTATCTGAACCCAGGTGAGACCCCTCAGTGTGTGCCTTCAATGGAACCTCTCTACTAAGCCGTCAATGGGTGGCAAAAGCTGAGACTATCCTAATTGTGGCTGTGTTTGTTGGGCTGCTGGAACCAGATTACCATACCTCTTTGATGAATGAGCCTGGCAGACCCCGAATCGAATTTAAGTGAAAGCCATAGCCATTTTCACCTTTAGCCAGCCTGCAGAGTTTAGGCTTATGATCTACTTCCTCTGTAGTATCTGGTGGACTTGAGACTTCCAGAGAAGCGGGAGTAGGAGCTGGAGCCTCCTTGACAGAGCCATTGGGCAGTTCTTGACTTTGATAGTAGAGAAATGGAGAAAAATGAGCCTTTTGAAAAATAAAGGGAAAAAACATTAACTTAGTTGTAACCATGAGTAAGTTATACTTTGTTAAATGTGCTAATTTTTATGGTATCATACATATTCCACTGTTCTTCCGGATATGTGATTGTAGGCTGTAAAATTACTACCCCAACCAGGAAAGGTATAAAAGAAGATTGTGCTTCATTGTGGAGTAATATGTGTCTACATGTACACAAATGCACACATGAACGAACATAAAAGCAGTATAGGATGCTGTACAAGGATCCAAAAAGATGTCTAAAAAATTGCTAATTTCTTTTGAGTTCATGATAGTGAGCAAGTCACTGAACAATCTATACATAATTCCCCTGTTGGGAAATGACACATCTGACTGACTAGCCCGGTACCTCATGCAAAGTACATTCTTCTGGCTTTTCCTTTTGGTAAGATGGTCTTCAGAGCTCCTTAAACATATTCGAAAAATGTAAAACACAAGACACTTCTGATAGTTAATTTTAGGTGCCAACTTGACTGGATTAAGGAATACCTAGAAACCCGGTAAAGCATTATTTTGGTGTGCGTCCATGAGGGTGGTTCCAGAGGGGATAAGTGTGCGAGTCCGAGTGAACTACAGAAAAGGCAAAGGTGTCCATCTGTCTGCTAGGGCTGGGATACACTCTTCCTCTCCTGTGCTTGGACATCAGAATTCCAGGTTCTCTGACCTTTGGACTCTAAGATCTACAGCCACAGCCCCCCAGATTCTCAGGCCAAATGCACAGAAGCAACCAAGTAGGAATGCCAATCGGGTGATGCCAGTAAGTCAGATTTGAACGGAGCCGCACTCCTGTCATCCCAGGGTTTCAAGCTTGAAGACAGCCTGTTGTGGGGCTTCTTAGCCTCCATAAATTCCCCTAATTAATCTCCTCTCATGCCTGTATCTTTATATCCTACTAGATCTGTCTCTCTGGAGAATGTTAATATAACACTATTTTTATCACTATCCGAAGACTTAAAGCTACTAGAAGAGAACAACCCATATATACAGTAATAATTGGTGAGAGGGTGACAGCTATTATATGGTCACATATTGTAACAAAAGTTAATTCCAACCCTTTGCTGCTTGCCAACACCCTCCCCTTCCAGACCTGGGATCTGTGTGCTTATTTTACTATGTATTGTTGTAACCATTAGCTGTCACTTGTGTTATGCCAAACTCTCCAACATCTTTACTCCTAATTCATATCAACTCCCAGACCGTCCGTATGAAGAAATGATGGTCTTGAATACCGAAGAGGCATAGAACAGGAAACAGGACTGATTTTTTGTAATAGAATTCTGAGCCTAACTGGCTGTTTTAGTTGAGACAATTAGAGTGGACCTGGGTATGGTGTGATCCTGGATCAGCAGCAAAATGGCTGCCCACAAGTGTCCGGAACATTTGTTAGGCGATGAGTAGGAAATCAAGCAATGGAAGGTGAGCACAGTGTGGGCTCTACTTGAA